TGTTTCTCGACCAGTTCATCATCATCGAGGCATGAATTCCATCAACAGGTCACACTGGCGCTGCAAGAAACCTGGTTGGTCGACGTCTGTCCATCCAAAGGACGTTTGCACAAGGCCATACATACGTGTCATTCCCTGGTTTGATTTGGTGTCGAATATGTTGCCGTAATAATAAACCAATCATTTCTGAGTGTCCAACTCTTGTGGTCTCCGCTGCTTATGCATATGCAAGCACATACATCATGCTATAGCTCTGGACATGTACATATACATATCGTTCGACCTAGGTGTACACCGTGGCGCCGTATTTAAACGTTTCCTTCGCAGCCTTCACCTTCGATTCCAAGTAGCACTTGACCAATAGCCCGAAAGCCAGGGCGATCGGCAGGACGGTCACTAAGCCTTTTAAAGCGCATGACAGAGTGTCGTTGAAGCCGGGGCACAAACAATGGCTTGTGCACGCGGGACCCGGTGGAAGCGTCGAGTAAAGAACTGCCACAACCAACGCCGACGTACCGACAACATAGTTGATCCGATCGCAGAAACTCGCGCATCCTACAGTGCCAATCGAAATGAACAATGTAGATATAGTATGATCACACTCCACTCACGCTCGTATCGTCGAACGTTTCTCAACAATGGAGGGATGACGACGAGGACATGGACTTGATTGATATTGTTGTTTTCAAGCAACGCAAACGCCTCAATGGGAGCGTGCAAGGCAAGTGCTGGAGCGTCGGGCACTGCTGGCGTCACGATGGTCGCATCGGCCATTTCAAGATGAAGTCGATTTGATCTGACGCCTGGCCATTTCGGACGAGATTAACCTCAACTCCATTGGGCGCCAACCATTCGGCGGTCGTCGTCTTTGCAACATAGAGCTTGAGCTCGTGCGTTGGGCAGGCAAGGTAGAGTTGGCTCTTCAATAGCTCTTGAAGTCGCAACACTGGAGGGTTGTCGTGGATTTCCACGTAAATTGGTTTCCACGACCCAACAACCATGCACGTCAACACTACCATCTTCGTTTCGTGGCTTGGAATCGAAATGGTAAATGCAAAGAGCTGCCTTTTGTGTGAGGTA